AAAAATTAAAAGAGTGTACAGTAAATAATACTTTGAATGGATGTTAATCAAAATAAATGTACAGTTAAGGAGCGTTCGACAGCCTAACCCAATAAATATACAGCATAGAGTTGCCATTAGTATTTTGGTGATTCATGTACTGTAAACTAAAATTTAGATGGATGCGAAATAGTTTAAACGCTTTGTAAGAATTACAATTATTAACAATGCACCAGTATTGGGTAAATGAATTTAAGTAGAGTAGATTGTTTCTGGAATGAAGAGAAAAGCATGTGCTAAGAACGAATATGTGCAAATGGACCTTCAAATACTTCATCTAATTCTGAATGCACAAGTTTCCTTTCAACTTGCCAAAAAGTGATTGTCGTAAAAAAGAATGCTTTGATTACTATTATGATAATGATTCAGCTTGTGCATCAACATTTGAAGACAAACGTTGTGCAATAAATGGAATTCATTGTGTTTTAAGAATGAAATGTGAAAATGTAACTATCATTAATGGATGTACGTTTGATGTTTAATTAAATCCTTGCGTTTGGATTGATAAAAAGTGCATTACTAAAACCTGCTAGACTGCAGAAGTTTCTCTTACGAAATATGAGCAGTGTAATTCATATTTACCGTATTGTACATTTAAAAAAGATGGAGGATGCGCAAGGAAGTAGAGTTGTAAGGATTATCAAATTTAAGAAGCTTGCTAAACAGATAGAGAGGATTTCGAATGCATTTGGGACATCAATATAAATAAATGTTTCTCCAACTAATGTATCGATTTCTGTGGTGATGGAATTGTTTCAAGTTAGGATGAATAGTGTGATGATGGCAATTACTTACCATATGATGGTTGTTATAATTGTGAATACTAATGCTCTTTAGGTTGTATTTAATGTGAAAAGGATAATCATTGTGTATAATGCGAAAGTTAATCTTTCTATTTGGATACTAGGTCATTTCAATGTAAAGTAATAGTATCCTAAGAAGAATAAAAACCTGATGAGGATGAAAATCAATATATTTAGTGTGGTCAGAATAAAGCCATTATCAATAATGAATGTATAACTTTATGTGGTAATGGCATTCTTGATAGTAATTTTGAATAATGTGATGATGGAAATAGCAATGGGGGAGATGGATGTTCTTCTCTATGTATTGAAGAAGATTCCTATTATTGTATCAACCAAGAAAATAAGTTAAGTAGTTGTACTTTTATCTAACATCCTAATTTCAATTTAATTTTGCTCTCTGATAGATAAAATCAAACCAAAATACTTGACCTTAGCTTCTCATAAGAAGTTTATTTACAACCTAGTCTTCCTTTTGAATAAGTTGTTGAGTTTGCCATCCTTCCAGAGACTCAATTTACATTATCTGTTGTTCCATTGAAAAATATTACTTCTCATTTAAGCAATCCACATTATTAAATTACTGTGTAATTTTATTCTTCTGTAACAGATCCAATTTTTAAAATCAATATCCAATAAAATTGTATTCTTAATTAATATGATTTGGATTTATAAGCTTATAAGAAAGAAATTCTTCTTGGAACACCCTTAGTATTATCATAAGCTGCGTAGGAAAGAACAAACTAAGTTATCTCTATGAACGATGCAATTATTTATACTACAGCTAGTATTTCTGGGCTTCTACTCTTAACTGG